GCCCCCACCTGTGTGGCCTGCTCCCTCCCTGCGCTCAGACTTGACTCACACATCTTTTCAGGAACACGGCCCAGCCCATCCTGTTGCAGAAACCACCCTTCCCTGCCTCTTCGTTTCCTTTTTGTTTTGTTCATGTGCCCCAGAACATCAGCTCCAGGAGGAGCGGGACTTCGGGTGGTCAACTGACAGATTTCCACTAAAGTGTGGTTCTAGGTCTTCATAAAAAATCATCAAAGAGCCTCGTGCAGCGAGTGAGTGAGAGTGAACTGCCGGGAAGAGAATGGGATACAGGTGGCAGCACTGAGTTGAGCAACAATTCTCTAGCTTTTCTTAGTTGGGGTCTGTTTGGGGGGGGATAAACGTCTCTACCACCATCCTCCTGTCCCATTGGACGTCCATGTGGATGGTAGAATGGCAGCTTGACAAGCAAGCGTGGAGCTCGGCCCATGGAGCCCTGGGAAGGCCCTGAGGTGGACATGGCTGCCGAGGCTTCAAGGTCACGTGGAGACCCAGAGAGTGAAGGTCCCTCAGGCCCCTTCAGCTTTCCCAGGCTGGTCCCAGGTCCAAGGCTGGAGCCCACCTTCAAAGATCTGTTTAGAAAGGGGTTGCCCTTGAGTCTTGCTGCCCCTGCCCCCCATGAGACTGCCTCTGACTCATGTGGGGAGCACACAGCCCCGTGAGGTGAGGACTACCATCATCCCCCGATTTGTGGATAGGGACACGCAGGCCCCTTCCCCCTGCAGGCCCCTTGCACACCCAGTGCCCGGATCACCACCGGGCTCAGACCCTCCAAAGCCCCACCTTGCCTGCGGGCTGCAGGGGAAGCCCCCGCGGTTTCCGGATGTCTGCACTGGGCACGTCCTTGGAGCAGCTGAGGCGGCCCCAGAGGCGGCCCAGGTCGTGAGGATCTGACCTGCCCTGCCCCCAGGCGCGTCAGGACCGGCCTCCCCGACGGAGGTTAGAAGGGCGGTTAGAAGGGCGGGGACCCGAGTTGCTTGCCCGCCCGCCTGCCCGCCCGCCCGCCGCGGTGGCCGTCCGGGGGCGACACATCCT